CTCCCAACTTTTTGTTGATGGAGTTAATCAATTCGTGCACTGAACGGCTCATATATGACTAGAACGGCCGAAAATTATGTTTTTCTTATAGTTGTCTGAATAAATCTTTAGCTTAATACGCCTTCGTTCTGAACTACCCAGACGCGTTTTCGTAATGTAGTTACTGAAAACAAAACAAGAAATAAATATTAGATTCAGCAATTATTTAAATTTGAATAAATACTTTTTTAATATAATTATACTTCAAATTGTTTTGTTACCTCAAGTAAATATACACTCTAAAAGAAAATGTGTTTAACTTTGCGCATATTAAGATAGGTAACCAGTTTCCTCTCTTAATGAATGAAAATTTACATACCGTTTTAATTAAATTAAACACTGCTTGTTTACATTTACTTATCATAGGTGTGGCGTAGAACAAATTTCCAATTTTTTGTTGAATTCTAAACATTTATTGTTCACAATTTCACAGTTTACACATAAAATGTTTAAAATTTGCTCTAACCAATTTTTGCTTAAATTTACGTATATAAAGAGAAGTAACCAGTTTCCTCTCCTAATGTAATAAAATTAAAAAGTGGCTGTTTACTTTTACATGCTACCAAACTTGTCGCGTAAAGCAAAATTACACACACAATGTTTAAAATTGAGTAAATATGAGCACTAAATGTTTATTATTAAAAAAAAAATTATTTTTACTTTACAATTTTTTGCAGTTTTAAACACTTCATGTATATATTTTTGTGTATAGTTTAAACATCTCATGTTCAAAATCAAATCTTGAACATCTTGTTCGTGCAGAAAGATTATCCAAGTCTATGTCTTCATAATGCCTCTGTAGCGCTCACCGTTGACCGAAATGACGTTTTCTAAGAAAAATTAGACAATGATGCCACCAATCCAAAATCCACACCAAACTGTCATTATCTGAAGATGCATTCGCTTCTGGACGATCACGTGCGGGTTTTCCGATCCCAAAATGCAACAGTTTTGCTTGTTAACATACATACATATGTATGTATGTATACATGCAAAGATATAGACACAATTATGTGTGACTTAATTCAATACTCGTATTTCGTTTAATTTGCGGAAATAACGCTAAAAGTTTATAATTAAATTTAGTGCACAGGCGTACAGAGAAATTATTTACAGAAAGACGAAAATGGCAAGTAAATTTAATTTTATTTTTTCCCAATTATACGGCAATGAGTTTATTTGAAACATATGCATGTACATAAGTACTATATGTTTACCTCCAAATATACATATCGTCACCTAAAGGTGAAAAGGTGACAAGTCCACTTTTTTTGAAATTGTTCAGGAGAGACGAAAAATAGATGTAGTTTCGCATTAACTGTCATTCTGCATCAAAAGCTAAATTTTGAAAAAAGTGGACTTGGCATCTTTTCACCTTTAGGTGGCGATATGTATATTTAGCTCATATGTTCATATGTGTAAAAATTCATTTAACTAACAGCAAACGCCGCGTTCTTGCTTTATTGAAATGCAAAAGTAAAAACTAAAACGATGTTAAAAATTTATTAGTACATTTAATGGCAAATTTATGATGCATTTCTTGCCAAGAGACATTAATCGTTGGGTAGAGAAGGCATAGTGCGCGTTTGCGGCGGGAAGGGTGCCATTTTTCGATTTTTGTTCTTATAAGTAAATAAGGACGCAAAGATTGCCAACACTTGCCTGATGATTCAGTGTATCGTTGTTATGGTTTGTGAAGGTGTCAGGTGCCATTTTAAGAGACCTTATCCTTTTGATAAAATTTTATGGGCACTGGAGTCCTAAAGCAGCGTCTCTATGGACTCGCATTTGCGCGTCCATAATTCCCTATTTGAATCGTCGAATAAGTTTGAGTGCATTCCAAAAAAAAAGTCAAAATACAAAGCACCTGCATCTTTTATTTATAAATCACATTAGAAGAAAAAGTCTAACTTGCGCAACCTAGTAGAAAACTAGCATCTAATCGTGACTGCGCACATTTGGCATTGAAATCTACTGAGGTTTCTAAATAAAAGCGACTGATGCTTTGTATTTGGACGTTTTGGAATGCACTAGAGCTGGAAAACTATCGATGGCACTATCGATAGTATCGATGGTTTTTGACTATCGAAAACATCGATGGTTTTGTAAGCACTATCGATAGTTTTCACTCATACATACATTATTCAGTAAGAGTAAAAGACGCCGGTACCTGTTTCATCTTGTGAGTCGGAAGGGACATTTAGTAAAGCAGGCCAAATAATTTCAGAGCGGAGATGCTCCTTGAAGCCAAAAATCGTTGATAAACTTTATATGGACAAATTTTAACAATTCTGATCTCATTTGCAATAAAAGTTATGTTAAATTTTTGGACTTTTTGAATCAAAACTATCGATAGTACTATCGATAGTGTCGACATTTTCGATAGTATCGATACTATCGATGGTTGTGACTATCGACTATCGAAACTATCGCTGGCCGGGACTATCGATAGTTTTCCAGCTCTAGAATGCACCCTTTGTTAGTCAGTAAGTGAAACCTTGTACATCTGTATACATACATATATTAGACTGCATCACTACCCATACAAAAAAAAAATCAGTACCGTTTTTCCATTGGAATTATAAAATCTATTATATTTTAAGACGTCCACCAAAATATTTCGGAAAAATATTAAGATTTAAGCGAGCTGGACCGATTTGAAAATACCTCCAAAAATGGAGTTTTTTATGAATAAAAATAGTTTCTTAAAGATGTTTTTTGAAAAAATCCCTTCAAATGGCAAAACGGTTTAAGCTTAAAAAATTTACATAAAAATATTTAAAAAAAATCGTAATGATGAGATGCTGTTTTTCCACTTTTTTCAAAGATTGGAATAAGAAAAACTTGAATAACTGAACCTAAACTCTTCCGATTTAGACTT